ATATGTTCTGCTATAATATATTATTGATGGGAGGATTTTTTGTGTTGTGTTCTGGACTAATTAGATTAAAAGAAAAATAAATCTGAATGAATACATGAATGATGCTGCTTTACAACTGACAGCTGAGATAGCATTGTATAGATGATATAGATTTATGTGTTTGTCTTCAGTATTCGCAAAGCGAATCATAACACATAAACTCTTGCAGTGGCTTTCACTTAAAATGACAGCACTAGTCACCGTTTTGAGTGTTTTGTTTGATTATCATTGTCAGACAAAAATAAGGAATTCATCTGGAAAACAAAAAGAAATGAAAATAATATAATTTAACTGTGGTTGGTGTTTATATAAGGGAGGTTGACTCAGCTGTGGTTAAAATAGCTGTTAAATATAAATCTTCTTTTTTTTAGCTGATGGGTTTGTAAATTTCATGATATGCATTAATGGTTGAGCAAAGGTCTTGAGCGACTCCTACTTTTGTAATGAGTAGCAAGCATGTGTTCACATTTCTGTAGGTAAATCTATGAAAATGAAATGATAAAGATATCATTTGACAGGAATAAAATAGCATTTTTTACACAAAAAATGTGATTCAGGAGCTATTACCTATAAATTCCCAGCATGACATGGAGTGTGTCATAGAAAAATGAGGAAACTGGACTATTGGTGGACAAAAGAAGAAGTGGCAGGTCTAAAAAAAAAACATCTACAGCAGATGAACAGTATGTCTGCATATAGAAATTATCTGTAAAGCACTGTGGAGGTTATGTGATTGTCTGGGGTTGTGTTTCAGTAAGTGGTGTTGGGAATCTTATCAAAATTTAGAGAATCATAAAAGTAGAAAGTCAGATTTCCATTGACAATGCAATACAATCTGAAAAGCATCCAACTAGCAATGGCTTCATTTGTTAGCATGACAATGACTAAACACACTGCATTGTAGTAAAATCGTAACAGGATAGAAAAACTTACAATGGATAACAATCAGTCATTGATTGACCTTCCCAGACTCCTGCAGGATTGTTCCTGAAGACAGCTACTTCTTGCTTTTTTACTCACAATATGGTGTTTATACACCACATGCATTTAATCATTAATTACTATTAATTTCTGGCTCTTCCTCCCATCACCCGCAAATGGTCACACCAGATGGCTTGTTAGACTCTGTCTTTATCTTATATACTGTATTTTCATGTATGTTCATTATTATTATTATTATTATTATTATTATTATTATTATCATCATTATTATACATTTTATTTATAAAGCACCTTTCAGGACACCCGAGGACACTGTACAATAGGATAAAACACATAATAGAACAATGACAGAATGAAGGACAATAAAAATAAAAGGCAAAAGATAAAATTAACAAACAGTGGGTTCGCAGTGAATATTTTTGCATGTTTCAATAAAACTGCGCTTACTTCTTATTTTCCTATAAAGAAATGCAAAGTATTTTATTGATTTGCCAATGTTTCTATGTATTATACTGGGTTGTGGAATGCTGTAATTATTCAAAAATAAAATAAAAATGAAATAAAATCCCGTGGTTATACTTTATTTCTCCTGTACTTACGGTAATCACTTCAGAGTTCTGTGTCTTCCTCACCGTTAAGTGGCAGCACCTACATTCAGCCCCACCATTACCTTTAGAAAGCGATGGATTGTGGGTATCCTCTGTGATAAAATGCAACGTGAGCGTTGCGTTAGCGAAGTTTTGTGTGAAGTGAACAGAGTGTGGTCGATGTTTTCTGTGCTCTCATTATAATGATTGTCTTTTTGAGACTCTTATTTTAAATATATTCTGCTTTACGCTTATAAGAAGGTGTTTTGGAGAGGAAAGGCGATCCTTCGATTTAATTCTTTTTACTTTTTAAAGAACTTTATGCGGAGCGAGAAGAAGAAAAAGCTGCCCAGTTTCTCAACAAGAGATTTTTTTTCCTCAAGTTATTTTTCGTCGGACATGTGTGTAAAAATGATGACAACTAAAGCGAAGAGAATAAAAACGAGTTGTCTGCGGAAAAACATGAAGTTTGGCTCTAAGTTGACGTGGAGGCTTTTCCCAGTGGCCGCGGAGGAGAACGAGGCCCTCAAACAGAGTCCAGCCACCACGGTGAAGACCACCATTCGAAAATACCTCCGCCGGGAACAGAGACGGGCTCAGCAGGACGGCCTCTGCACTTTGCTGGGCGAGACGGACGGGAAGAACGGAGACTTCATGTCTGCGGAAAGTACCGCCACGGCCTGTGTGCACCGTCATCCAGCTGTCGCAATGGCGCCGGAAAACACCACGCAGTACCTGATGGGAAACCTGTATGAAGACTTGAATATTGACATTAACGAGTCAGTTCAGGATTCACAGGCAGTAGCTGCTCAACAGTTTAGCGAATGTCCTTCACCGACGAGCTCATGTACTGCCCTGGACTCTGATAGCTACCTTGCGTTTCAGCAGCGGAACTTTGATGAGGCCTTTGAAATGTTTTGGTAACCAGGACGAACTTCGTGAGCGTGGCCCGGCTCCCTCAGCAGCCCGACTTTAATTCAGCTCATTGTTAAAAGGTGTGAAGAGTTTAATTGTAAATATTTGAGTGTGATTCATGTGTCATGTGGTGTTCCGTTCTGTTTTGTAGCCCTGATCATGTAGTGTGTATGTGTGCGCGTGATTCATAGTTGGGCCTTTATTTGTCTCACAGCGGCGCGCCTTTGCACGCTGGCCGCACGCCCACTGGGGAGCGCTACCGAGCCCTGCGTGCCGCCTCCTGGAGGGAATCGACCAAACGGCTCGGCCCAGCTCTGCTGCGCTGTGCTCGGCTGTGGTCTCTTCACGGATTGTAAAATCCAGGTAAACCCGGGCAGGTATTGTTAGCAGTGCATTGTCATTGATGGCAATAGTCGATGGTGATTGGATGTTCCACAGTCACTGTTGTCTGAGCGTTTTCCAGGTCGACCCTGCTAGGACACGTGGCTCAGCTGTGGGAGGAGCAGGAAGCAAAGGAGGTCGGTCTTCACGTGACTGACACAAGGTGACACTTCAAACTGAAAGGGCCGTAATGGCGAGATAATCATGTGTATGTCATTTTAATGATATAATTTAATGTTGTATTGAAACTTTGATTGCAAAGTGATGGTGAATGTGGAGTTTAATCTTCAATAAAATTATTTGTTACATTAAGTAACCTGTCTTGTTGGTTTTTTGGCTACTTTACAAAACTATTCTGTTCAACTTTAAATGGTTTAAAGTCACAGCAATGGCCACCTCATCGTGCTTGGTAAAGATGCTACTATAATATGAACCTGGACAGCCCCCTATGAGCAACAGCTTTGCTGAAGATCCTGGAATGCAGCCGAAGGTTGTTTTTTGTTTTGCATGCATTCATGTCAAGGTTGTTATAGCAAATGTAAACAATGTGTGAATGTGGTTTAAAAACAACATTGAGTTTGGGAAAAATAATTTAGTGTTTAAAAATGTATCAGTCTTATGAGGCTTTTAGATATCATTGACAGACAGTTGTCTGCACAACATGGTCAACAATTTTCATAAAATTGTAATTACTGTCAGTGTGGATTTTGCTAAGTCTTGCCTCTGATATACCCTCAATTCAATACAACCGTGACTAAAATTAATTTAAAGCATAAAGCCAAAACAAGAACTGCATGTTACAAAACTTGGGTTTTAGCTTAGCTTAAGTATCCCATGCACCACATACTGGCAGCTGATGTGACTAAAAATAAATGCTAAACTAGTTGCAATATTGCTTTATAGCACTAGAAAGGTGTTTCTGGCATATGGTCCGCCACAAGAGTTGAGAATTTTCAACTACCAAGGTTTGTTCATCTGCTCCTGAGTCATTGGTTCCCAATACACACTTGTGTATATGGTTTTATGTGAGGTGTGATTGTATTTTGTTTGAAGCCTGAAAATAAAGTCTCACATTTATGTGAAGAAGTCACTTGGATGAGTTGTTTCTTCCACTGAAACTGCTATGTCCAGCTAAACGGAATACTTTTTGGGATGTATTTGTTTAAAAAATAAAATATAAAAATAATCTGGGACCTATTCTGGGACACCAGTGTATGGAACTTAAATGGGACTTTGATCCCCAGCTAGTTTTACAGCCAGTTACAGGAACTGAGTGTTGTACATATAACGTATTAAATAAGTACAAAGTATTTCTTAGAAAAAGATGGACTGAGCTAAGATATGAGGTTCAAGTGCTTTCTTTAAAAAAACAAAGTTAATATTTAAAGACTCATTGTGAAAAGTGCACTTATATCTGTTCGTTGGCCTGGGAACGCCTTGGTGTTCCATAGACAAGCAGTGAGAGGGAGGTCGGGACTTCTTCCCTCTTAGGCTGCTCCCCCTCCAACTTGGCCTCGGATAACCAGAAGACGATGGATGGATGGACATTGTGAATTGTCCAGTTTTGCCAGATCTCTTTAAAAAAAAATCCTTTCTAAAAAAATCCCAGATCACTTTCAAAAGTTACTTTCTTTGAACATGGGGCAATTCTTATCTCTGGTATAAATAAATAATGATCATTTTAGAAAGGAAGTGAATCATGTATATACTTTTTTTTTTAATTGCTAGTCACAATTTCCACAAGTTTGACAAACCATGTTTTATATTCAATATACCTGCTCACCCTACTGTAAATCCACTGAAAAAGAAGGCAATAAATATAACTGTTTAATATGAAAAGGAAGATATTTCTTGAAAGACTAAAATCAAGCTGAAAAAAGAGAAATTATATTAATTTGTCCAAGCCCTACTTTCCTGCAGTTATCCTTTTTTTCTTTTCAGTGAAGCACCTTCATGCTAAGTATTAAGTACAACTACAATGCCATCTTATTGTTGTTGCATTGTGACAAAAA